ATCGTTTTTATCGCGCACAGCTGAACAATGTTAACAAAGCATTTGAGTGTCATATAAGTGTCAAGTTAAATTGATATAAACAAATCTATTGCGGAAACTGTTTGTTTACGTCTAATCACAGAAATATTTTTGTTCGAGTAGTTATCCTGTTAAGAAAAATCGATAGAAAACGATGAGAACTAATATAGGATCTGACAAATATTTTATCGTGTCCTATTGTATCTATCGTTCCACTTTCTCTGTTCCGAAAGAAATTGTTATCGTTTCCTATTGTTTTCTATCATTAGCTGATAAAAACAAATTTAATCGTTGAAATATCAATAGATTGTCTACAATATAACTTATCGTTTTGATAAAATTTATCATAATTAAGACGTTATCCTAATGAATTGTTCATACATGTTAATTTTTTTATGGTTCATAACTACGATTAAAAATTATATCGGTTTTATCGTTTTCTATTTTTAACAGGGTAGAACGCAATAAGCAGCAGTATAAAATGCTGTCGCTCTGCGAATGTTAGAATCAGTGCACCGTGATATCGTGTATTAATAACATCGTGTACTATAGTAACATCAGTATCACTGTATCAAATTATCAATCATTATACAGTCGATTTTGTAAGTACCTATATTTTTTAGATATTTTAAAAATTTATATTAATATTTACACTTTCCGTATAATTTAATTTTTAGCTTGTAAAAATAAATTATTATTTAAAATTCTTATTTGTATTTTGTTACAGTACTGCAGAAAAATCTTTTAATATTTATTCCTACTACTTTTGTGGAAAAGACATACATCAGTTATCATATACATATATAGAAACACGTTTATGTATCACATAAGATTATATTTCTTCTTGAGTTTCTCACGGAAAATAAAAATATATAAAGGTAAAATAATTATATAATATACATTTATCACGTTTAGAGTAAATTAAAATATATATTTGTCTTCAACATAATAAATAATGTAATGTAAATAGAGTATGTATACAATAAAGCATTACTATTTTTTAAATATATTTA